AAATAAAAATATAAGTGATAACTTGACCTTGTGACTGAAGTTTTTCTTATTGGGAACTGAGGGATTAGTTCAGAGATTTTGTATTGGGACAAAGCTTCCCAGATGTCTACAGGAAATGTCAACATATCTTGGTCTGTTACAGGCCCTAACCATTTGGGAATTTGCCAGAATTGGTCCAGCTTCCTGGACTTGCCCATTTCTGCATTATGCAGCCTTTTACCATGTCAAAATCATTGCCGGAATAGTGTCCAAACAAGACCTAAAAAGATTAATCCATGTGTTTTGTCTCTAGCAGGTTGGACTACTGTAATGGCCTGCTCACTGAGCTCTCTAAATGAGCTGTAAGACAGCTGCAGAACATCCAGAAACTGCTGCTAGAGTTCTGACCAGACCCAGGAAATGCCCATATCAGTCCAGTTCTCAGGTCTCTGCACTGGCTTCCTGTCAGTCAGATAATAGACTTTAAAACTGCTCTGTGTACAAGTGTCTTCATGGGCAAGCACAGAAATATCTTTCTGACCTGTTGGAGCCGTATGAACCAGCTCGGACTTTGAGAACATCAGGTTCTGGTCTCCTGATGGTGCACAGAGTCAGAACTAAACAAGGTGAAGCTTCATTTCAGTTCCATGCTCCTAAAATCCTGAACAGTCTTCCTGAGAATGTGAGACAGGCTTAAACTCTGGCAATGTTTAAATCCAGGGTGAAAACGCTTCTGTTTAACAGTGCACATGGGCCAGAATCTGTACGACGTCTCCTTAAGCAATTCCATTTCAACTAGACCTGGATGAAAGGGAGAAAGAAATAGCCGAGACTTTCTCTCAGTACACAGTTGAGTCGCCGAGACACGCTGAGCCTGGGTACCATAGGAAGTGCTACTCGAATTACACGGATAAAAAAAATTAGGAGAGCACGTAAACGTGTTGTTGAGCGAACCCAAAGCACTGTTTGCTGTGATCAAGAAGAAGCTGATACCATGCTTCTTTGGAATATAAAGACATTATCTTGAGCCCACACACTGATGTCATGGTCTTGGCTTTAGGTTATGTGCATTGTTTTGAGAGCATTATCTATTTTAAGACAGGGACTGGCAACAAAACTCGTATTGTAAATATTTCTCATCTAGCAAGTCTTCATGGTCCAAAGAAAGGTCGAGCTTTTGTTGGTCTCCATGTTTTTGTTGGATGTGACACGTTAAGTGCCTTTTAAAGGGAAAGGAAAAGTTAAAGCCTTGAATCAGAGCCAGCTGTTAATTGCTTTCAAATTCTTGGGAAAAATTGGGATGTTGATGACGAATTGTTCCTTCAGCTTGAAAAATGTGTTTCACTTGTATGGACAGAAAAACTGTAACCGGGTTAATGATGCCAGGTTTAAAATTTTCTCTTCTCTGTAAGTCAGATCAATCTTTTCCACCAAATCAGGATTGTCTTTGACAACATTCTAAGCGAGCTCCATACCAGCTAGCAATTTATAGAAGGTGTTTGGACCAGTTTATTAACGCCCCTAACCCAGAAGGCCATGGCTGGTCCTTTGCAGATGGAGTGCTCTCTTATTGTTGGATGGTAAATCCCACAGCTCCACCTGATGTCAAGATGGACATATCTTGCAAGTGCAAGACACATGCATGTGCTACACAAATCTGTCCATGCAAAAGGGGTCATTTGCCATGTAGTGACATCTGCCAATGGGTAAACTGTGTAAACTGTCCTGTTATGATTGAAAATGAGAATGATGTGGAAGGGATGATTCAGATGATGTTTTTCATATATATTGTAAGTTTTTGATGAAAATATAAGAAATATAAATATGAAAGGTCTGGATTTAAATAATAAGATGTAAATATGATATGTTTGGATTTAAATAGTATGATGTTGCGAGGAAAGGTTAAGATTGAAATAATATAAGTGTAGATATGAGAGGTTCATATTTTTTATTGTATATAAATATGGATCCCTCGTTAGTTTTTATTGACAGTGAAAATGATATATTATTCCATTTTTTATAGCAAGGTTTACTTGTGATAGTAAGGCTTTATTCAACTGTATTATGTTGTTCAAATTATTTTTTTAGACTGAAAGTACCCTACATTGTTTTTCTCTCATTAAGTTAATAAATGCAATATGAAGGAAAGTGAAGTGTCAGTATTTCAATAATTAAATTTGTAAGAAATTATTTTGACCAAAAACAAGGGTTTTGCATATTAAATGATTGTCCTTTGTCTTGCTATGGCCGTATAAAGTGGAAAATATGTAGTAGTTCAGGTTCAGTGAACCTCTGGCAGCGAAAATCGAAACTAAAGGTCAAAATTGCATTTCTGTTTATTATAGCAGTTTTTGCATAAAAAACCTTTTCTAATGATCAACCTTAATAATTTTAAAGTATTTTGGTAAAGATCACTTGGTTAAAACCAAAAATATGGAGAATTTAGCCACCTATAGGCCAGATGTGGAACGACCGAAAATTGAATGGGCTGTAATTAATTAATGTGCAAGTGAAAACGTGGGAACATTGGCTTTTTTAGATCACTGAAGTCTAAAGTATCTAATTAAACCCTTAATAATGAAAACGAAAAGTCATCGTACATATTTTGGCCCACGGCTTAATGCTCACAAACACTCAAGGCGCTGTAGCTTAGCTGGTGAAAGCGTCTGTCTCGTAAACAGGAGATCCTGGGTTCAAATCCCAGCAGTGCCTGGTTCTTCCATTTGACCTTCTCTCCAGGAAAATTTAAGACTTAGATTAAAGCAAGTGGTTTGTGGGAGACAAGTTTAACAAACCAATTATATATATATGCTCACAAACTTTCAGTCACAGAAACTTTTTTCCAATCAACACAAACCACAATGCATAAGTTAAATGCATCATGTTGCTCTTTCACACTTCTACTATGTCAGTGGGTTTGTCTTTAGTGGGGAATCTTGTCTTTTTACTAGCTCTTACCAACTAGCTTAGCTGTGAGCATTCACTTCAAAACTTCATGAACATTTGAATAACAACAAATGGGCCACTGGTGATAAATGCTCTCCTGGCAGAGGATTGTTCTACTTGGAAATAATGTGCTGTTACCTCTAGTTGAAAATCTGACGTAATCTCGATTAGAAATGGGCTATAGTCCTCACTTTAGCATTGTATGCTATACCATAATCCATGTAAATTACTGATTGTCTTATTCCTAATAGAATTATACTCTCTGGCTATGCTGTTAGACTCTCCTCTCTGTTACCGTAGATACACGTCTTCAAGGTCAACATCCACACACAGACTTAAAAAAAATCAAATTCTAATTAAATCTGCATGAATTAAGAACTGGCCTGTTCATGTCAGAGGCAACTGGCCAGTAACACTTGGTTGTGTCCATTCTTCTTGTTGTACGGGGCAAGCCCTGCCCAGAAGATAAATGTCCGTCACACCCGGATATTGCCGACTGAGATCCTCAGGGAGCTTTGTCAGTGTAAGCCCAACGCTGATTCACTCTACCTGTGACCAATAAATGTCATATTTGTACTCTTGATCTGCTCTAGTTTATTCTCTGGCTTCCAACTAAAGAATTGTATTTAAAGGCTTCTCAAACTCTCAAGATTTCAGGTGGTACAATTGTTCAAGCAAAATAAAACACCCTGCCATTATTTTATGTTTTACATAATTTTGGAAAGTGTTTATATATATACATATAACAATAGTTTTAAAGCTGTTAAAATAACTGCAAACCATTTGTCCAGCAATTTACATTTCGTAAATGTCAGGGTGGCACAACCATAAACATTGGGCTTTTATTTCTAAGTGAAGACACAATAGTCATGAACAGGATGTTGCATCAGCCAGAAAACCCCAAGAGACCCTTGGGACTAAGCTAAAAGGCTTGTAAATCCTGAAAGATAGCAATAAAAGTAATTACCTTTAGGTAATATGTTGGCTTTTAGGTTTTCCATGTCATGTGTTGCAACCATTGTAAAACTGAAAAATATTATTTTATAATAAAACTGTTTAACCCAAAAGTAGAATTATAAATGGAATAATATGAATCTAAAAGCAATAATACAATCAGTCATTTACATGGATTAAGTTGTAGCATGCTTTGCTAAAGGGAGTAATTATAGCCCAATTCTAACATTCTAATGGAGCCATCTGGTTTTTGCACTGGGACTATGGTCCCAGACCTTGGTCAGCTCTTCTGACATGCTGTAAAGTATGTGAAAACTCATGTCCTCTGTATCATCTTCTTCCTCCCCTCTAAGTTGATTCGCTCGCTTTTCCTTCCCTGGGCCCCTGCTTTCGCCTTTATGCCCTCTGAACCTTGCCTTCGGCACCTTTGAATTGCTCGCCTTCGATCTACAAGCTTTCTTAATGTGCCCCCTCTTGCCACAATTATGACACAGTTCAGTGTAAAACTTGCATTCAGCGGCATTGTGATGGCCTTTTCAGCGATAACAACTAGGGAATTTGCGTTGCATTTTGTCAACAGATACTTTGTGGACACATACTTGAGTCTTTGGCACACATGAATGCAGAGCTTTGTCCTCAGCTAGCTTCCCTTGCATTTCTTTCACATCTCTCGATGCTGATTCCATAGCATGGCATAATTCCAAACCCAGTGCAAGACAGTGCATCTTTGTAGTCACAATGCAGTGCTAATTTCCTCAATTCAGCCACATACTCACCTATTGACTCGTTGCTCTTCCGTATACGTGAATGAAATTTAAATCTTTGCACAATTTAACTCGGTGTGGGGTTGAAGTGCTTTTTAAGCTCAGCAGTAAGCTGGTCATACGTTTTTGCATTTTGGCAAATCAGTACTGACTAAATTTCTCAGCAAGCTATAAGTAGTTGCACCAACGGTAGGGGGTTACAGATCCAATTACAGCCGCCATCTTCACTTGTTCGCGGTTGTGGTGGTGAAACTTTGCGCTCCTCGCAAGTATTTGAACCGCCGTTTTCCCTGGAGCTTGCTCCTCCTTGACTCATCTGGGACTTTCAATCCTTGAAATCCTCGTCACCAATTGTTTGATATCCTACGGTGGCTGTAGCAATCACCACACTAGGGTTGTTTCTTTGGCTTTGTGACGTTTATTCTTGCACACTCAGAAAACAACCTAAACGTGTGTCTAGACCATTGCTTGATCTACTTCTTCTATATCTCAACTAAGTATGTATCCATAAGTGTAATATTGTAATAGGTAGGTGGCGCCCCTAGAGGCGTTAACCATAAATTTTAATACATGTCAGTATATCTACCACAATTGGTATAGGACCATCATCCTCAACTTGTACCCCTGGTGTGTTGGCAGTCAACTGGAATGATGTTGGGCTGAAACACTTGTACATCTATGGCTCACTGCAGAAACAGGACAGTCATCTACAATGGATCTCAGAGTTGTTTCTGTATGTCGGTGTGACCTGATGGAGTTTCCTTGTTGCAGGTACAGGTTTTAGTGGTTGAGAAAGGAGAGCATCATATGGCTGCATATTAGCTTCAGTAATTATATAGAGCTTAGTGCTGCAGGAGATGCTGCCAACCATCTCATGGGAAATATTCAGATTCACAATGTCATCCCCCCGCAGTATAAGGTTGTCTGCAGTCCTTTTAACAGTTCCTCCAATGCTGTCAAGGGTTCCCTTCCCATGTGAGGTGAGTAAGAGGTTCCAGGTTGTTCTCTTGAAACCTAGAGTTAAAGGTACACTGCAGAGGAGAGAAAAGTTGTTTTTGTTCTTGTATTGTTTGCTGACCAAAAATTAACAGTATCAACTTTTGGAAACTTTAAACGAATGTCAGGACCTGTTCCATGTCAGTTCAAATGGCAGACGCATCTTGTAGCTTGGATTCTGATACTGTGCAAAAGCCTGTCTTCGGATATTTTGTATAGTACATGGCAGTGTGCGGGTTGAGCTGTGGGAGGTTCTGACCAAAATGGCATGACTGTACCTCAGAACTATCCTTGCATTTCCACGCTTCAGAAAAGTCCAAATGCACAATTACTGTGCTAACATTGCACTTCATCATGCTCATGCTCCTGTACTCTCTGGTCTGGTTCTGAACTGAGCACACGTGTGTTGTTGTTTCTGTCTTCAGTTTGTCTTCATATTGTTAAAGAAGCTCTCCCAGCGTACCACTGTGCATCACAAGTCTTGTGTTGAAGTGGAGCCCATCTGTTGTTTGATCCTGAACTCATTCAAATTGCTGCCATTCAACATTGGTCTGGTCTTGCTGTGATGTGGGAAGTGTATGTTTTTGGAGACACCGGGTGCAGGAGCGCAGAAGACATGCCTCGGTTGTCTGTGAACACCAGACAAATTCAAAACTATCCTCCAGTTTGCCAGAGTTGACGACAACATTTTTTCTTAGGACCTCAAGCATCAGTTTTGCAATTTCATGGTACTGACATTGGCATGTCTTACGATCCGACGGTCTTGGTGCTTTGACATAGAATGGACGCAAGGCACAGAAGGATGAATAACTGAGCTTCACTCTTGGTTCCTTCTTGGTGAACTCCTTGTGGAGGTTCAATACTGTATCAGTCAGAAGAATCAATCGCTGATGCTTTATTTTCTTGCTTGTGATTGTGTTCTGCTTGTAAGTTGTCATTTGTGCTGCATTATGGTATAAATCCTGAACTTTCTTAGTAATTGTTTGAATGTATGTAGGTTTTTTATCCTCTTCCGCAGTGTGTTATATGTTACACCAAATTGCCTTGTCTGGTGAATTAGCCAATATTTTTTCAGAACCTTGCCTGACAGAGTCAAGCTCTTGTTCTTGTGGGCAGACTTGTTTTGTTTCAATTCATGAATGAGTGCATTGTGGAACAGCAAAGTTTTCTTGATGGAGGGGTTTTTGAGTTAGCTTCCCCGCAGCAGATGTTCTGTTTTTTTTCTTGGTGAGTCTTTTTTATTCCAAGCTTGTTCTCGTACCCAACACTTTTCCATTCTGTTCCTATCCTTTGTTACCTCTTTAAGTGAATTTCTCATAGCTTTCATCTCTCTAGAATATCTTGCTATTGTTTCTTTCTTTCCCTTTCTCCTGCTACAGCCTGTCTACTCCGAGCTGGCTCTTGTATGGCCTGATCCACTGGACTGTCTGGGGGAGTTTCCGGGTGATCTGAGCCCTTTCTCTTACATTCTCTTGATGCTTTCTATCTACGTTTTCAAGCCTTTCTCTGACTTCTATTTTCCCTGTCATTCAAGTCATCGATATTTTTTATCTTCCCTTCCTTCACCCTCTTTAATCTTTGCCTTTCCGTTCTGAGGTATTCCTCCTTTAACTCTGCATCACTATATTTTTTCTCTCTACACTTCTTTTGATATTCCCTGTTTCTTCTCGTTCTCTCCTCCACAGATAGCTGCTGCCTAGCCATAACTTCCTAAAATATGAAAGGCTTGAGTGTAATGACTATGAAATTATGGGGAATTACAGTAAATGTGAGATAGACATTTTTATTTGGCTTTAGTCATAGGAGATGCATAGCTTACAAGGGATATTGTATACCATGTGCTATGTAGGTAGGTAGTAGGTGCACTATGTGCATCCCAAATGACGTAAGCCAAATGAACATGGCATAATAGTGAATAGAGAGGGAGGGAGGGAAGGCACACCTCATCCCCTAAGGTTGTACGATATGAAAGAAATATAGGGGGAATTACTAAAATACAATATAAAAGAAGTTAATGAAATATTACAGATCAACAATTATATTCTAGCCTCCATTGGGGACAATTTGTAGGTTTTTGTCACCACCGTCAGACGGTTGTGACGTCTGACGGTGGTGACAAAAAGTGTATAATTAAGTCCTGTATGTCCAAATCTTAATCTTGTTATCACCCTCTCTTCTTTTCTATTTCGTCTTTCCTTTCTTCTTTCTCTTACTGTTTTTTGAATTTTGTAACTTTTGTTGCCATTTTTCCATAAGTTTTTCTTTAATTATACTCTTTCCCTCAGATTTACTTGTTTTAATGATAAAATTTATAGGATTTTGAATCGCCCTCTTTGCTAATTTATCTGCCCTCTCATTTCCCTTATACCCCAATGTGCGCTGGAACCCACACAAATATAACTATTAAACCCATGTTTTGTATTCTAAATAATGTATGAAATATTTCTAATAATATTTCCATCCTACTATCTGATTTATTATATTTTAAACTTAATAACGCAGAGCTTGAATCTGAACAAATTACTGTTTTTAATGGTTTTATGTCTTCTACCCATTGTAAAGCTATTAATATTGCCAACATTTCTCCTGTGTATACTGATAACCCGTTTGTGATTCCAATTCTTATATTGAATTCTGGTACTACAAATGCTATTCCTATACCTTCATTTATTTTTTATGCATCTGTATAAATTTGAATATATTGATAATAATTGTTTATATGTGTAGGCCACCTAAAGGTAAGGGCCCCTGAGTTCTTATGTAACTCAAATAGTTTGTAAAACCCTAATTAGTTGCTCTACTTAATAAAGTTACGCTATCTTACCTCGTGATGATAGCCTCGAATACACATATACACAACAATGGAAATAATCAAACAGATATGAATGAATAAACCTTGAATTTACTGAACAATAGCACAGATTTAAACAATCAACAGCAAAATCAAATGTCCTATACTAAAACCCCCCACTCGTTGCAGGCCTGTTGGGTGAGTTGAGAGCGATGAGGTACCTTTACTTTTGTCTTTCACACACTCTTTACCAACGTTCACACAGCGTTGGACAAGCGTGGGGTTTTCCAAGATGGCGGGTCACACTCACGGGCCTCCTGATAGCAACACGTGTCAACTCTTTTCCTCAGCTCCTCTCCGACTCCGGGAAAACACTAATCCACATATGTCACTCTTTAAACATATTTGTTCCTTACCGAAAATGTTCATGCTCCCAACCGGGAACATAAATATTTCTCTTTTTCGGAGCTCACTCGGTTATATTCCAGTGTTTGTCCTCGGTCTGAAAACATCCAAGAGTTCTTCGAAAATGTGGCAAAACAGGTTTCCATCAGAGACTATTGAGTTAACAGTCCAGAAACTATTATAACCACACACATAAATCCAACATGCTTCCCTTCGTCCTTTTACTCGTGCAAACCCAAAACAAACATCATGGACTCTACTACTTCCGGTCACGTCAATACAATGCAGGAGTAAACGAGTGGCAGTAGTACGCATGCACATCACTTCCCATCGACCTTCAAAATAAAATACATTAATAATAACGCAAAATACCTCTTTTAACTTACTCTTACACTTTTAAACAATTTTAAACACATTAACACAAATGAAATGCATTTATACAACTTAAACTAAATTATTAATACTTTTTAACCATGAAACTTATCACATTTTAACCTTGTTACAAATGTAATTGTACAGAATAATTATCCACAATGTAAGATTTATCTTGTTTCTTTTCCATTATTGTCATATCAACTGTTGCTTCCGGTAAAATCCATGGTGGTATAATTGATATTGGTGTTTTTGAGTAATTTTTAAATCATTCATTTTAAATTCTTTTATTTTATTTTCAATTGTCCATCCAAAACTCCTCATTATATCCAAGTATAACGACCCAGGAGAGCATTTATTACCAGCCTGCCATGTGTTGTTATTCAAATGTTCATGAAGTTTTGAAGTGAATGCTCACAGCTGAACTATTTGGGAAGAGCTAGTAAAAAGACAGGATTCCCCAGGATTCCTATGTGTTTGTTAACGACAAACACACAGAAATAGCAGAAGTTTGAATGAGTCACATGATGCATTTAAATAGGTTTGTTTTGATTGAATGTAATTGTGGCTCCAGCCGTGGATCAAAGTTGCTGTTAATGAAAGTTTGTGAGCATATATATATATATATATCCTCGGTTTGTTAAAGATCACCTTGTCTCCCACAGACTATTAGCTTTAGTCTAAGTCTAATGTTTTCTAGCAAAAAGGTCAGTTAAAAGAATCAGGTACTGCTGGGATTTGAACCCAGGATCTCCTGTTTACGAGACAGACGCTTTCACCAGCTAAGCTACAGCGCCTTGAGTGTTTATGGGTATAGGGTCCATTTCACGAAGCAGGTTTAATGAAACACTGAGTTTTCCATTTCACAAAGAGAG